CACCACTGAAATAACTAACCAACTAAAAGCTCTTTTAGCTGTTAGCAGTATGTGCTGAGGTTTTGATAACAGACAATGTGTGTGTAATGCCCCACTATTGAAGGGGGTACAAATAGAAACACATCCAACATGCTAACCCACACCCGACAGCATCTCCCAGATGTGCCAATCACAAGATGAGGACATGGCAAACTAACTTGCCTAACTTCCTAATCCCAGACAGAAGCCTAACTTCTGATAACCGACACAAAAAGCAGAAAAGGATGAAAACAAGAAAAGTTTTATTTTTCATTCTCTTTATTTTGTATTTTCAATTTCATAATGAACATGGAAAACATACTTGCTAACCATGACTATATTAGCATTTTCATTGAGAGCATCTTAGCATTAAGCTCAAAGCACCACTGTACCTTGGGACAACCTCGCTTGGCTCTCATGTTATCACTTCAGTGACATATTAAATCATAAAGACCTACATTTTCCTCGCAATTCACAGCCACACTGCTCAGTTTGGCTGATTTCTGATTGCCACATGAAGAATGAACAAGCGTTTTTGAGGTTTAAGTGAAGGAGATTCAAATAGGCTAAATGTGCACATACAAAAAACATTTAATGCAGGTGCTGGACCAATAAAACATAGCAATAACCAACATGAAAAATGGTCTGCAGGCCTTTCTTCATGTTTAATTACACCATAAGATAATAGAAAACAAAACAGACATCAAGGTGACATTTGTCTGTATCTTCTCTTATCAGATGGGGCTCGTGCGACTGTTTCCACATGGTGCTGTGTGATATACCGTATTGTTGATCAGGTGTGAAGACTTATGTGAGGGACCTATTGTCGAGTGCCTGAGATGAGCATGGCGTGACCCCATCGCTGGTATCCATCACTGCACTGACAGGCCTGCTGGTTCATTCAGCATGACTCCAAGGCCACGTTGCTGCTCCACTGTGTCATGAGCCCCAAAGACAAGCTGTTCACTCACTGTTCAGTATGCATCCACCCACCCCCCTTCAGAACTGGTGGCCCACTTAGGCAAAAGAACAGCATTAAACAAAGCCCTGATGGAGAAGGTAACATCTTCACGGCTGGACTTGTTTGGGGAAAAGCAGCATATGTGTGGGTTGGATAATCTGCACACACTAACTTTTGTGCTGTGATGCTGTCAGTTCTCTAATCTCACAATTTGTCCTTTACACATCTTTGAATGTTTAGGATTGTGGTTGTGGCATTCGTACTCGAGGCGGAACATATTTTGCTTGGATGAAGGTGCGTCTGGCACGCCAATAAGGTGGACAGAACACATAGTTCGGTTTTGAGGGGTTCAGCAGAGTGGGCTGCAGCTTCTCGCAGCACACACAACGTACTCACTTGTCAGCTATCCTTTCTGTTACATCACCTCCCCACCCCTCCTGAATCCAACACTTTGTATCCCTGCCATCGACCCCTCCTCCATCTGTCACACTGATGCATTGGCAGTCTGCAGAAGGTTACCACGCAAGGCCTCTTAACACCTGGTTTTAGGGATAGTTTTTTGCTCACCCCACCTGCTAGCCTCCTGCAGTGGCCCAGCACTTTACACCGATCCTGCTAAGACCCCGCCTGTCGTCCTCACTGATTGAATGGAGAGCTCTGGCAGTGTTACTCCAGCCAGGTCTCATATCTCTGCGCCTGAGGCTCGTTTTCATGTGGCTTGTAAAGATGCCACTTTTATCTCCTATTAATCATGGGCCTCTTTCCCCAGCTATGCTCCCCACTGCTGGTGACAACATAGATTCAGAGTGATGCCGTGGCAGATTGTCAAATTACACGCAACATGGCAGGGGAGGCTGCAAGGCATGAGTGTGGTATGGATCACAAGGTTTTGTTGTTTCATTTTTGATACAAATATGCTGTTCGATTTGTCTTTAAACAAGAGATTTTTGATTCAATCACTCTGTGGTTTACAAGTGTTTTTACACTGTTGGACTTTGGAGTTGTTACCTGTGAATTGGAACCTTTCTACGGGCGCAAGAATCCTGCACATGACTGCCGTCTCTGGCTCGTTGTTCTTTGAAGCTGTCAGCCGACAAATATTCTAGCTCACGGCTGGGCCCTCAGCTCTTGAGGCTGGTGATGACACACATGCTCAGCAGACAAAGTGCCAGGACCACCCGGGCTTTAGGTGTCCTGACCTTGGAGGTTGGCTGTGAAAAATAACAACACAAGGGGAGAAAGAATGCCTCCTATGCTGCACAAGGGGTCAAGCTGTTGCCCCTGTCAGAGTGAAGTTCAACATGTCTCATGAGCCCCTTATGTAAAATGTTTGTTTTTCAAAGGTAAAGAGACAAATGTAATAGACTCCACAAGTGTGTCTCACTTTTTCTGCCTGCTGTCTGCTGTAGATGCTAAGAGGGACAAGGTTTGACCCAAGACAAGTTGAATCACTGAAAGTGCAGCACACAAATACACTTAAATCCACTGATCTGAAGCCTGCTGTGAAAAACGTATCATTCTGTCCAATCCCATATCAAAGAAAAACAAAATAGCAGCAATGCCATCTCTCTGTTCGTGACATTCTAGTGAAATGCTGATAGATTTACAGCAACTTCTTTCGCTTTTCAGCTATTTGAGGTATCTGTTAAACAGATTGTTGCATTGATTTCTGGGAAGACAGATGGTGGTGTGCATGCTTCAAGACAACCGGAGGAATGAAGAATTGTTCAGCTCAGTAGATCAAATTCAGTATAGTTATGTCCTTAGGGTAGATTTTTATTGCGCGTAGGTGTATATGATCTCACAGGCATATTTTTGAGTAGCTTTGTTTTCTTTCTGGCCATACTTGAAAGTAGCTAAAATAGCATGAAATGCTTGAAAATGAGACAGAAATACCATTTTATCTGCCAAAGCAATGAGACAAACCTTGATAAATCTGTCTGCCTTGTATTTCAGTCTTTAAATGGTTAGGTGATTACATACTGTATGATTTTATGTTTCTTCTGCCAAAAAAAAGAAGAGATGATCCTCAAAAAACCAAAACAAAGACAGTTATTCTGGTGCTCAGTTTACAGTACACCTTTGACCTATAATACTGTTTTTATGTGTGCCTTTGAAATTGAAATCATTGTATGGCCCTTCATCTGTGTCATATTTCAAGTTTAACTGTGTCTGATCTGTTGTCAGTGTGTCCAGTCTCTTAAGGAGGATGTGAACTGCTTTAATTGTATAGATTTTTTTTCTTTTATTCTTTGCTTAACTCATTTGCCTGCCACCCTGCAGTCCCTTCAGCCCCAGCAGCCTCTGGCCTTCCAAGCGATCATTATTTGATGTGATTGACACGACAGGATGGTGTGCATTTCATTGCTGAGAAGTTTAGAGCCTTAGGCCTCGTGATCCTTCAGTGATCAGGGGTGCGTCACCCCACAGCCATCCTAGGGGCACAAGGCTGGATTACCAACCAGGCAAACTAACAAATACTAACCCTAACCCCAACAGTTTACTAAATGTCATTTGAGGTTTAGACAGTTGAATTAATTGCAGATTTGTAATTTGAAATTTGCACCACACTGAAGTCATTAAGTCTGACCATCTTGTGGCCCTGTCTTCTTGAGGGATCCTGTGTCAAAATCTAGGTTTGGTTTGTATTGTTGCCGTTTTTTCTGTGTCAAGTATTTAACACACACAAAACCTTGGGCATGGTTGTATTAATACATCATAGGAGAGCTGTAAGCAGGGGCGTAGCTTTCGTTTCAGCTCTGGGGGGCACACATATGAAACAGGGGTTTTGGGGGTCATCCCCTAGGAAAATTTGAGCATTATTTGCTGCCTTCTGGTGAAAAATTCTCCTCAAATTAGTGCCTTTTCTGCATCAATTTATGATGGAAATGTATTTAATTTTGTCAAAATAAAAATCTACTCTACTACTACTCTACTACTTTCATGTTTCTATTGGGGGAGGCGCTACAAATGCACGTTTTAAATATTGAGGAGAATGTGATGTGTTCCCTGCACATTATGTTCGTAACAAACTTATTTTAGGCCAAACCATGATGTTTTTTCTAAACCTACTCACGTGTTTTTGTTGTCTAAACCGAAGAAAGAAGACTTAAAAACAAAGGGTTTTTTTAACCTACGCTCCGAGTTTATTTTGCAGACAGACTGCATGCATTTAACAAGCAGATATTGCATATTTCCCATGACACAATGCATGTAACGTGCATAACTTGATACGCTGCCCCTGAATGTCAGAAACTGCCATTGTAGGAGAGCGTCATAGTTTGACGTGTAGGGCCACTGACCAAGTGTCAGTATTTGACGAGTGGGAGGTGAACATGTGTTGTTTTATTAAATGAGCAAAGACTACAATTTTTTAAAATTTCAATCATTGTGTATTATTGCTCAATAAAAATATTGTTAGATAAAAAAGCCCAGTGTGTATTATAAAAATCAAATGCCATTGGAAATTAATTTTTTTAAGTGGCTTAAAAAGAAGAAACTAAATCAAACTTTTATACTTGGTTTGCAATGACAGTTCTCCAGTAGATGGACACATACATGGAGGAACTATTATTTGGCAAATTTCTGTTATTGTTACTATAATAAGAAGACTTTTTAAATAAATTTTGGGCTTGTGCCACAGTTAACTAGTGTGTCCACCACCTTTGCCTTGAGAGTGTCCGCTGAACTGTTGACCATGTGGGAACCTTACGGTACTACTCATTCCCGTGTCGCAGAGCGTTGAGGTGTGTGCTCCAATGACCTCAGGGTCACATACCACGCAAAGGGGCTACGCAGTTATGCTAACCATGTAGATGTTTAAATCAAAACAGTGGCAATCAGAGGTGGACGTTGGGAGGGAGAAGAAGAGAGGCAATAGTAGGGGAAAGGAGAGCTCGTTCTTGAACCGTGGTCAGATGGGAGAGAGCTAAGTGGTGGGTGTGTGTAAAGACTTGAAATATGTTGAAGAGACGCGTGTGTTATCTTTTCTCCTCGCCACTGGCCGTCCGGTACCTCCCCTCATGGTGTGTCGTCAGCAGTTTATCTCAGGGCCTGGCTGGAGCTGCAAGGGAAAATGGGAGGAAATCTGATCCATATGGTGGCACTATAAAGCTCACCGCTGATTTGCAGGCTTCATCAAAACCTGGTCAAGGCTTCATTACTACTCATGACTGATATCCTCCTCCCACACCTGGTCACTGCGCTCTGAAGCTTCTCACTCTCTCCTCAGCAGCAGTAGTCGTCTGCCTGACCCCTGGGGTGCCTCACGATTTTCATAGACTCCTCACAGAGAAGTAAGTAAATTCCCAACCTGATAAGTGATTTAGTTATGGACAGTTAGATTATATGGAAGATGTTATCCAGATTTCATGTTTTGCATATGCATGTATGAAGTCAGATTATGATGCATTGCATGTATCTGTTTTTCTTATGTTGCCTCAGATATGAAGATACTGGGCAAGGTTGCTTTCTTGCTTTTGCTCGGGGGAATCTGGTGTCAGAACAACCGTAATGCTAAAGCTACTGGCAAGTCCACCAAGAAGTCTGCTGGGAACCAGGGAGGTGATGTTGGCCAGCCTGCCCCTGTAGCTGACCTGACTCCTGGAAGCACAAGAGGCACTGGAGGCACTGGAAGCTCTAGAGGCACTGGAAACACTGGAAACTCAAGAGGCACCGCAGGCACTGGAGGCACTGGTGGCACTGGAAGCACCAGAGGCACTGCAGAAGCAGCTGAAGCAGGGCAGGAGGGAGCTGCGGGAGCTCAAGAAGCTGGACAACAGACGGATGACATGAGGCTGCACTTCCTCAAGAACACCCAAGTTACATGTAATGATGGAACAGCAGCTGGGTGAGACGTTCTGGATCTCATATGTTCTCCCTCTTGTTTTCCTAAAACTCTTATATTTTGAGATTTGCTGTCTGTTTGCTGATTAATAAAATGATTTTAGAACCCACACAGAGCATCAGTGTGTCCATACATGGCTGCTTTATCTCCACCATCTCCTCATGCCTGTTTATTTGTGGTACAGGTTTTACCTAAAGGAGTTCAGAGGAAGCCGCCGATGGCTGTTATTTCTGGAAGGTGAGTATTTAAAAACCCAACTGGTTAATTTGGTCCCCAAAGGTCAGCTTGTTTTGGCGTGACGCCCTCATTGGAATTTTGATGGGGATGTCATCTTGTCTTGTCATCTTTAGTTTTTCTCCTTTTTTGGTTGCTGCCTGTCACTTTGATAGACTTAGGATGGGGGAAATTTATGTGGATCGTCCTCCAGCTCAACTTATGTGTGTATTCTGAGAGCATAGGAGGGGTATGCGTCACATTTCCCAAACACAGACATTATATCTTGCCTTTTTTAACAAGATTTAGATTGTATTATTCTGAGCATTAAAGCCTAATCAATTAGTTTTGCTATATTTTATTATGTTAGATTCTCTCCTTCAATATAATATACGTCAAACCACTTTGCACAAGCTGAAAGTCAATCAACAAATCATCTGCTGACAGCTTGCAAATTAAAGGAATCATTAATCTTTTTGTCCAACTCTGAATGAATATACAGTCTTGTTAGCAGACCGGGCTGCAGGTGCATTCCTTTCCCTCTCCATTCCTCACGAGCCTCTGTGATGGGCTAACAAGGGTCCCCCTTGCTGTGCCTTATGTGAACGTCTAATATTAGTCCCTATTATTTTTAGGTGGCTGGTGCTGCCACAGCAAAGAGACCTGCGATTCCAGGTACCAAAATATACCCCGACTAATGAGCTCATCAGGGTGGCCCCAAACAAAAAGAGGTAGGTCAGCCGGCCATGTTTAAAAATGCATGTCATAAGTGTTTTATGTAATCTTTAGTGAGACAAAAGATCATCTGTCTGATCTCTGATTGCTGCATTTACAGGGACTGGAATTTTGTCTTCTCAAGCAGAGGAGAACCCACACTGGCATAATGCAAACATTGTGTAAGTATTGTGTCTTACTGTGGCTACTGGAGTTGTTACATACATACGGACTTTATTTATAAATGCTTGTGAGACAGGACTTGCTGGTCTACTGCTGCCTCCAATAGTTATTTGTTTGTCTCATTGTGTGACTTTGGCAAGGGTTAGCTCAGATTCACTAAAGTCACACAATAACACTGGGAAACTAATGGATCACAGCGGTGGTAGACCAGCAGCTCCCATGTTCAGCAAGAAAAAATTGCAGTTTTTGTCAGTGGAGTCTGGTGGCTTTGACGAGCGCATAGACATAATGGGCTGTCTGACGGAAAGGTAAAAAAGTGAAAATACTCTTAGATGACTCTTGAATGGGACTTTTTTAGATGGCTAAAGTGCGTTTGCTGCTGACTTCTGCACTTTGCAGCTTTTGTGTCCACACTCATGCCACTTTTCAAAACGGGGGGCTTCCCGATAGACATTTAAAGTATATGATACATTGACTCTGGATAAATACCTCATACAGCCCCACTTCAAAACAGTCCAAGGTATTCCTGAAAAGATGCTAAAATGCCCCCTACAGAATTGAGGGGAACTGCAGAGTCTTTGTGTCTGTGTGTCCTAGTTCATGTTAGACATGGTCACTTGATCCAGTGTTAATATGAGTACATTGATTAGTGCAACTGTAAAACAAGACCTTTTAAGAAACTGCAAATCTTATGAGCAATAAAATGCACTTTTGCTCAGTTCACTGCACTGAGGGGTTTTGCTGTTTCAGCATTACTTGGTCTGCTCATAACGGCTAATACAACTCTGCAAATTTCTGATATATGACTGAAAAGTTGACTTTCCTGGAGGAGAGATGGAGTTGTTCTGATTGCCTCAAGCTTGAGTCTAACAAATGTGATTGTCTCCTTTTCTGCAGATTCATCCCGTACTGTTCCAGTGATGTATGGAGTGGCACTGGGCCTGCCCCGACCCCTCCCCCAAGGCCACGACAAGGCAGAGAGAAAGAAAGGGACAGAAATACAAATACAAGTAAGTTTCTTTCTCCCTCATACATGACAGACAGATGACAGATGACTGTGCCTCCTTTGGTTATAAGAAAACATGATTTATCTATTTTTCTGTTCAGTGTTGAGCTCCCAGTCATTTGATGTGTGCATTTGTTATTAGCTGAGTACACCTTCATGGGAACCCTGATCATCCGCGAGGTCATCAAAGACCTCATCCCCAAAGGAATCAAGCAGGCCAAGGTTGTCATGCTGTCTGGCACAAGGTGAGTTTGTTTTATCGCCTGCCGCCTGGTACTTACCGCAGCTTTTGGACAAGTGCCTGCATCCCCTGTACCATCTGGACCAACTCTGCACCTATCATTAAACAAGAGAAGCCCTATTTTGGTCGCATCCTCGTGTCAACAATAAAGATGTTTACAGTCAACTGTGAACAATGACATAATGTCTATTAAAGGGCCTTGCCCTGTAATGGTGAACATTCCTCCCAGGTTAGCAACATGGTTGTTGGGTTCCCCCTGAGCCCTAAAACGGGATCCACTGTCTGAATGCAAAGCTGCTAAATTTTGACATCCCTGCTGTAAGCTGGCATGCACTGTCATTTTGATACCCTTAGCGAAAATTACACACTCAAAGCCAAACTATTTATTGATTGTCTTGGCTCTCCCTGCAGTGCTGGTGGAACAGGTGTTTTGCTGAACATTGAGAGAGTGGCCAGTCAGCTGGAGCAGCTCGGCGCAGAGGCTCAGGTCCGAGGCCTCGTGGACTCTGGGTGGTTTCTAGAGAGTAAACAGCAGAGGTCACCTAACTGCCCTGAGACTATTTCCTGCTCACCTGAAGATGCTATCAAGATAGGACTCAGGTTAAGTCATGCATCCTCCAACACTTTCATAGGCCAGAGACAGAATTTGAAAATCTCTATTTTGCCATGCAGTACTGTTATATTTGTCTTTATTGTGTAATGTGTCAAAGTGACTCAGCAGTAGATTTGTATATATTGACAGTGTGTGTTGTTTTCTCAGGCTGTGGAATGGGGTAGTGCCTGATAGATGTCGGCAGCTTTATAAGAGAGGAGAGGAGTGGCAGTGCTTCTTCGGCCACAAACTGTACTCAACCTTGACCTGTGAGTACCGGCTGCAGCCTCATAAATATATCATGATATTGGATTAGTATGCTACAGTATATATTTGACTTGAGCTGTCCAAGAGAAATGTGCACTGAAATATGTGAGGTGTGAGTTTAATTTACTCAGAAGCTGAAAAGTGGACAGACTTGCCAAATATACCAGTGTGGGTGATTTTCATGCTTGTACCTCAGCGGAGGAAGTATGTGGTCTAGGACATCTGCAAGTCTTGGATCAAAAACCCAAAAGAAAAAAAACATGGTTTGCAAATTTCAAGACAGTTTTTCCTCAATTCCTGGACAGCTGATATTTTGTAGATCTGACAGCCTTGGCAGTAGTGGAAACTCACATCATCACAGCTTAGTTTCATCATAGCAAAGCTTAAGTGGACCAACCCAGGCCCATGAAAAACCCTGTCACATGTAAGCTTAAAGGTACAGTAGGTAACATTTATAAAAGTAACTTTATGTAATATTTGCTGACACTGACACTGTATCTTGACAGTGGGCCATGAGACAAATAATCTGTGGAAAAACTATATTTCTCTGGCTTCCCCCACTGCTCCCAGTATTACTTGATGTGTTCACTGTTGTGGGTAATGCATGAACGGTGACTGACAGCTGCGTTAGAGAATTCTCCTGGCTCTGATTGGTTGTTCTCATTCACAGCGAATCCTTGCAAATGCCGTAGGAGCACTAGAAGGAGCCAGGGGGACACAATTTCCTGTCTCATGTACCTCTGTCAGGATACAGTGACAGTTTCAGCAAATATGACAAAAACTTATTTTTCATAAAAGTTACCTCCTGTAGCTTTAAAGCCCTCATATGTGGAACTTGACAATTTCTGACTCTGGCAATTCTGAGCTCTGCTATCGTAAGAGGCCCCGGGGAGAAAGCAGCACAGATTTAACCTGGGATTTCTTTCTTTTTTTTTCCAGACAAAATAATATATTTTTGCCTACTTGTGGGCAACACAACAACAATCTGCAAAGCTGACACACTGTATTATCTTCTTATAAAGCTGATAAGACAAAATTGTCAGCAAAGAGTTGCCTGTTTATACATCCAAAAGTTATGCAGCAAAATTTGTAAGTCCAATAGTCACTTTCCTTTTAGCTCTGGTTTTGGTCTCCACCAACTACTTTGCTGCTAAATGCTTCGCTGTGTTCATCAGCTGGCCGCTAACTTTATCTGTTTTTCGCTAAAACAATCTGTTCTAATTGCGCCAAAAACAGATGCTTTAGTGTCTCATAGGGCTCTCTTTAGTGTCTTTATGTGACGCAAATTGTGAAAAGGACGTGGTTAAGTTTTGGCGATGAAACTACTTGGTTTGTTTTAGAACAAAGATCATAGTTTGGGTTAAAATAAGTATGCACATGAGTGACATAAATTACACATTACATTAATAGAACGCTGACTTTTGGCTTCAAAAGGAACACAAACTGTGGTCTCCTGGGTGAAAGTCTTTTGTTTGACTCATCCACCTCCCCTTCTTCCCAACCTACACGGACTATCTTGCTCGTAGCATCAAGTATTGCCACGGATGGGTTTACACTAGAGTCGAAAGCCCAGTGCGTCTCATAAAGACACTGAAGAGTGCCTTTGGTTTCAATATCACACTGTGGGGTGTGACAAAGTGTCAGTATTTGAAGACATAGCAGTGAGAATGGGCTGGCTGAAAATGGCTGCTCGCTGCATTTGGAAACAGCGCTGATGAGAGCCGTGAGACTGAACCAAAACAGTAAATTTGTGGGTAGTAAAACCAAAACAATGAGCAGAAACAAGCTATAAGGCTCCGTAGAACTGGGGGATTTGCGGTTGGGTGACAGATCTACGTAGGTTAATCACTATGAGCATCCCATTTTACATTGCACATAGTCATCTGACCCATTGTCAATATAAATATATTGATTAGAGCAGATTTAATAGTGAACTCTGTGTTTCCCCTGCAGCTCCTCTGTTTGTAGTGCAGTGGCTGTTTGATGAGGAGCAGCTGCGAGTGGAGAACATCTACATGGGAGGACAGAGTCTGTCCGAGGAGCAGTGGCAGTACATACAGAACCTGGGCAGGGAGATCAAGAACTCACTGACTGATGTCACGTAAGTTCCCAAAAACCTGTTTAGAAGAGTAAAGTGATAACAGTAGATCTAATATGCACCAAGTGTAGAAATTGATGTATTTCTCTCTGTGTTTTTGTCAGGGCTGTGTTTGCTCCGTCCTGCCTCTCTCACACAGCCATTACCAGAAGGTAAGAATGGATACTTGACTCCTGTGGTGGTAATGCACTTTCACGCCTTCCACTTTATTCTTGCCTCCACTAGTGGTCATCGCTACCTAGTGAGCTCATGCTGCTGTTTTTGCTTGCTCGTTCATCATGCCGCATTCTTCGTGTCACCAAATGCCATTTCACACTTTCCCTAACCCCTCGGTACCCCTTGAACACACTCATTATTTTGCTGCAGGGATGGACACTGATGGGTCAGAGCAGTCTTCGGTAGTTGAAGAAGTTAGGTGTATTTATTGAGGGTAATGATACCTTATGGGAGGAGCTGAAGGTCTAAGGTCATTGTAGGTAATTTAACAGTGGCTGTTCTCTGATGTAACACACTTGCTGCACCACCAGGATGACACTTTCCTGGTTCTCAGTTTCTAATCTCATCCTATTCCTTTGCTTTCTGCCAACATTTTCCCTCACTTTTTGTTCTTTTCTAGCTTTACCTCTGTTTATTCCTAATCCCTAACTTCCCTGTCTTATTGTTCCTCTAGTAACTGGATGAGTTTCCAAGTTAAAGGCACCTCTCTGCCACGGGCCCTGCAGTGCTGGGACAGGAGTCTGGAGGCAACACGCAACAACAGAACTCCTGCAAAAGGCTGTCCTTTCCACCTGGTGGACACCTGCCAGTGGCCCCAGTGCAACCCCACCTGCCCAGCCTTAGTGGACCAGGCCACCCAGCAGGAGCTCACCCTGCTCCAGATGCTGGTAGCCATGGGCCTTGACCTCCAGAAGCTGGGCCTGGATCCCCAGGGAGACGCAGATTCTCTGGCCAGCATGGTCAGCAATGGTGGCTAAGTGTAAATGTGGATAGCAGCCTATAAGAGAAAGCCATGCAAAGGCTTGTTAGAGGAGAGAATGGGTTGAAATTTTATTGTAACCACAGAATTAGCATAGAAATCTGGTTACTACGTCTCGTGCTGCTCAGCATTCCATTATGCTTCTTGTGTCGTCTGTTAAATAAGTGACTGGTGGGTATGTCACTGCATCTGAGTCTGAGTGGTTTGGCTAGCGGACACCAGAGGAAAGAGCTTTGGGTCTGAATCAAAGGTGTTTCATCTGTACTAGTTGAATTAGCTTTGAGATTTAGCAGGTGGCTGGACATACGGTACCTCCTACAAAACACTTTCATCCTGATCACTCTGCATGAAAATCAGACTTCGGAGCATGGCAGTAGAGTTGAATACTTTTAATTCTCTACTTGCACGATGTAGTGTGACTTATATCTGTTTTACAAATTTCACGCGTGTTCACTTCCTGTCAGGGCTACGGCAGCATTACCTACGTCTCCAACCATAGTGATCAAAGTGCTTTTTCATCTTTAAGTTAGTCAACGTTACCTCACTTTCAGTTACCTTTGTACATATTGTTAATTGTACTTACTTTTACTTTTGGTATATAGTGTTGTTAATCATTTTTATTATCACCTCAGTGTCTGAGTTAACTGTTAGCGGTGTTAGCTACTCTTATGTGTTGCATCACAAAAGTAAGGTGTTGAAGTAATATTCTACATTTGGCAGTAAGGAAATAATTGAGACATTAGTAGCAGGATTTCAGGTACATTTACTATGTCACGTAACACATTACCACCCAAAATTAGGTGTTCATTTGTTATCTTGTTTCATTGATCAACGCTGCCCCACTTCTGCCAGTGCGTCACCAGCAAAAAAAATATCCCCGACGGGTTTTGTGTCTCGTCACGTCATTATAAGCTACATTATAGAAGGGTGCCAGTGATGGGCACATCTGGGTGATGCCTTCAACGTCTACAATGTATCCCGTGCTGCTTTTGCGTCTAAAGGCTGCCTCTTATACACAAACTCTCTTTCTGTTGCTGTTGCAGCTGACTGGGAACTGGCAGGTGGGTCTTCCAGCTCCGGTGTATTAATTTGCAATCATCATAGTAAATAACTTGTATGTCAATCCGTTTGATGTGCTAACCTCAGCATTTGTCTATTGTGTTTCATATGATAGGCCTATAATATTAATCCCTCTCTGATAATTGATCAGATTTTGATCCTTTGTCTGCCTGTCCATCAGTGTGTCCATTTTATAATGCCTGATCGTACTTATACAGTTATTTTGGCGAAAGTAATGCAAAAGCAGTGTAACCTAATACTCCAGACAGACAGTGATATTGTAAAGTAGCTTATTAGTTTCAAATGAATGCAACTAGTAATATGTAATGTATTACATTTTAAAACTTGTCCAACACTGCATGTCGCTCATGCCAAAAATATTATAAAGTGACTGTACATTGTCTTGCGAAAGTAAGCTAACCACCCTCTTCATAAACTTGACGTTGCTTTTCTTTATTTTAGTAGCCAGCTGGGCTAGCTTACTGGCCAATCAAGCAATTTAAAGACACTGAATGAATTAGCAAAATGATCAATACACAAATGAATGGTAAATACTAATCACTCTATGTACAAAGCTTGCTGTGAAAAGTGAAGTAACTAACTTAAGGATGATAAAGCGCAGAGGTGAAGGTAATGTTACGGCAGAGTTGTCATGAAGTAAACAGACATGAAATTTGTAAAATGAATATATGTCACACAACATTGTGCGAGTAAAGAACAGAGGCTCCCACAAAATGCCACAGGCACAAACATGTTGCTTTGACAGGACTCATAAAACACATTTACACACCATATACTGTAGTTGTTAGCATCTTAATTAGCTTTAAAGAAAGATTTACTGATGCTCTTTCCAACAGTCATACTTTTATACATAGTGGTTATTCATGATGTGCTACATTTTGAGTATTCTGATTTTTACAGAATAAAATACAACTCAGAACACCAGAAAAACTAAACTCATACTCACTCAATAGGTTTTTTTTTGCACACACAGTTCCAAAGACACTGATTGTGATTTTTGTGACTTAGTTTTAGTCTCTAGCTCCTGATGCTATCCTAACTTATATATATAGTATTACATTATATATATGTAGACATATTTTATGTGCATGTCAGACAAAAGTGTGATTAGTTATTGATATTTTTCTGTGTAGGCCAGCAGGAGTTTACTTAATTCACCAGTTAAGTGCGATAATTAGAAAAAAAAACTTCCTAAATAAACAATAACGCTGTGGTTCTTCACCGCTCAGTTGTCAGCATAATCTATAGTGGCATACATGGACACAATACAGACTATGTATTGCAATCCTTTATTGTTATCAACATTTAAAACGTCTTTCACAGTGTAATGCTAGTTTTGCAGGGCATTTACAGATGTTACTGTATGTTTTATTTTCATCTAGGTACTGTAATAACTCTGTCAACCCATTAGAGTGTGACAAGAATTGTACCTGCTGGTAACAAGTATCAGACTAAGTTGTTGCTCATGTTGAAATGGGGAATAAAGATTTTAATTGGCTCTGACGACATGGACTTTTGTTGTTCATCCAATGCTGTTTATGCATTCTCTTGACATCTTTGTTATGACGCAATCATTATCTGTGAGAGGGTGCAATAAAAGGATGCATTAGGCAAGTCCTTTGTTTTCTTTCAGACTGATAGAGAGATAGAGATAGAGATAGATAGAGATAGAGACTGGTAGAATTTCTGTTAGCACATTGATAGCTACCATGTGTGGAGCCACAGACCTGCACTCAGTGGGCTATGTGTTGCTTTAGATGAAACAGCTGGTATATGACAGTAAAACAGGCCACTTTATCTGTACATTTGCCACTAAAAATGTTCTCTTTTCCTCTGGTTTCTCACAAATTACCCAAACAGTTGTGGCAAGGCCAAATGAAAGGATACATACTGTATGTATGCAATTATTCATCCTCATCACTAGATGGCGCTGCTTAAAAATATGACACATATTTACTGATGATTCTGCACGTTTTTGTTGCTGACATGGGGATGCAAATTTAATTTTTTTTCAATTATTTGGTATAGTACAGCCTGTTCAGAAAGGTTCTTTGGTTATAAATGTATTGAAATATACACAACAATACCTTTCAGATAGATTCTTTTTTTTCTGACAAAATGATAATGTACAAAACATTAATTAAATAGCAACAGTTCATGTAAAAACAAATATGATTTACATTATAAAATGACAGCTTTTAAAGACAATGATATAAATCAATCAAACAAACAAAAAAGATAAGCAAAAAGATAAACAGGTGTACATACATACAAGAAAAAAAAAATCAGTTAGAAGATTCAGGGAAAAATGCCCCATTTTCCAAAAGCTTAACACTTAAAAAGTAGGAAGTGATAAAGAGAACTGTTTGTGAATAAAAAATATAGCATTTAGAATAATGAAATTAACTGGATATTCAACAGCACTATTTTCTGGATTATCATTGTAACAAAAAAAAAAAATAAAACAAACAAAAAAACAAACAAACAAAAAACACTCTTTGGCCTTATTTGAGATATAATACTTTTAAGTACAAAGATTAAATCAAAGAAACCAGGTTATATAAACCTTTGCGGGACAAATTTAAGCTACATTACTGAAAACTTGGTAAATGTGCAAATACTCTTTGTGTCTTTAAAACTGATAACAACCATAAAAGCACAAAAATTAAATGATAGTTAAAAAACATTTTATCACTACACCGATAACTAAGAAACATTAATATTTTCCATGGCATGCTAAGTTATTTATTTAATTTTATCTTATCATTATTATCATTACTATTTTATTACTTTCCCTCCGCTGTTGTTAAACATTACATTTCCATTTAAAACTTACAATTAAGATTTACAATTAAAAACTGAATTTCTAAAAAAATAACATTTAAAAAAGCACTTCCTGTGTAATTAACTTTCAGTCTTGTATTGTAAGATGTCTACATTTGTTTACTATATTGTTGTTCGCTTTGAATTTATGTAAGCGTTGTCTCACTCACATTAATTAATTGTTCTGTACATTTTCAATTAAACTCAAAACAATCGTGTCGGTGTGTAGATCATCTCGACTTGAAAAACATCTTGGATTTTCCCCCATAATGCATTGCCGGTTGTTGCCACTTCCTCTTTCCGCCATATTGCAGAACCGGTAAGATGCCTTTTTACACTGTCACCTTCAATCTTTAACGTATCTAAACCATCTGAGCGTTAAATGTCCCACTAATGTGATCATCTTGAAGCTAAAGTACATATTAATGATTCGAGATAATTATCGTCTCGATTAGAGAGACGAGTTAAACACAATTGGACTACAAATTTCATCCATCAGAGTCCCTCTGCTCGGCCCCGGGGATCGGTGCGTTCAAGGCGCCTTGATAACTGTTAGCTTTGCGAACACAAAAGTGTCTTTTCACTTATTAAAATAACACCTGTGAGGTGTCAGTTAAAATACGTGTGTAAAAAATGTTGTACACTATCGACACTGTGGTGACCGTTGTTCCTGACAGTGCCTAGGGGATGCTTAGCTTTGCCAATGTAGTCGGCTAGGCTAGGTGGCTAATATGTGAGCTCGTGAAGGACCATGCTTTTGTGGGAGTCTCTACGTTTTACTCATAATGTCATTAAAGGAAACGCCGCGTTACCTGTTGGCCGTAAAACTCGGCTGGTATTAGAAAATTAAGCTAATGAACTGACGTAGATTGCTAATGTTAGCCAAGTTGCTAACACCTGTATGTTTGAATGGTTTGCGTCGTGACATAATAAGGACTAGCCAGGCGCTGCTAACTGGATACTGCGTTTTCACTTCTTGTACCTTCATTTATAATTTGTAGAGAAGATATGTGTGATGTAAATGTGTGCCATTAAGAGCAACATCATGACCCTGCTGAATAATATCTATTTGGATGCATGAGAGCCATCAGTTGGTCTTCATCTGCCAAATTTGACTGTGAAACTGGTGTGTGAACACTGGTCAAACAGTCCCACAGAGGAATATGAAAATAGGCATCGGCAGGTTATATTTCCTACAGGTTCACGTATGTCACTGTAAATATTCATGGTCATTTTTTTTTGTGTCTGCAGGCATCATGGTGCGCATGAACGTTCTCGCGGATGCTCTGAAAAGCATCAACAATGCTGAGAAGCGTGGGAAACGCCAGGTCCTCATCAGGCCCTGCTCCAAGGTTATTGTGCGCTTCCTAACCGTCATGATGAAGCACGGTAAGTGGCTGATCTTCCGTTTGACTGAGAGGGGTTTTGACATCATAAAATAATGTGGCCATATGACAGTGGCAGCATGCTGGTTTTAGTATACTCACTGTAAATCTGGAATGAGGTGCAAGTTTCAAAGGAGTGTACAGTTTGTCAGCATATACACAACCACTGTTAATCATTCAATCATCTGTAGCATGGAATCATATATGGCACAACTCCACTTAAATATGATCCCGTCAGCTCCTCTAACTTGTGCACTGTACTGTAGTCCTTTTTGCATCTTCTTATATTGTCGGTTGCTTCTTTATAGTTGTCCATGGTGTCTGGTTGTGGAATGATTTAATTGTCCACACATTCAAAACCTTCATAAGCTGTCCACATGGTCGCTCCTCCTGAACATGGGCAGCAGTGATTCACACCAGGACTAGTACAGCACCTCATAATTCCACTGACACACCAGTCTGTATTCACTGTAAAGCACATGCCTCTCTGTTCGCCAGAGTCCTATATAGTAATAGTCAAGTGGTTGAATGGTGCTATTGAAGATCCAGCGAAGTTTCAGTGAATCAGAGGATATTAAGAGTTCCTGATATCTGGTTGGAAGCTTATGCAGCACAGAGGTCCAGTTTTCATCTGCGGCGCCTGTGCAATGGCTAGCACCTCTTTGGCAATGCTGCTGCCCCTAGAGTTTTGAAGAGTGATAATGGGTGTTGAGCTCTCTATGGGATTGCATCAGAGACAACAAGCTCATTATAGTGTGACATGAGCTTTACTAAATGATTCTTCTTTCTCTCTTGCACCTCCAGGTTACATTGGTGAGTTTGAGATCATTGACGACCACAGAGCCGGAAAAATTGTCGTCAATCTCACAGGCAGGCTGAACAAGGTAAAGTCTCTCAGTTGACCCAGCTCTGCAGTTACCTGTATGCTGCTGCTATATTAGCTGCTAATGCTAATTGTGTAAGAATAAGCTGTGTTGAAACTAGGGTTAGTGAATTACATTTTGAATTACACTACAAATAAAGCTCTACCACAGCAACCATTCCCAAGTGAATAGCGGGATACAATGATTTTTGAAGTCCAGTATTGAGAGGCAAAATAGGCTGTGATGTCATCACTGCGGGCAGTTGAGCATCGTCAGTGTTTAACCATTATAAGTGCTTGTTTCTGTCACTAACAGGCTCAGATTGTCATTAGAAGTGTCTGACAACATTACAGAAAGTAATGAAATGTTTTTCTAAACCTTTCACTGGTCTGATTGTTATTATGACCCAGTCTTGCACAAGGACGAGTCTCGTTCTGAATTCTCACAAAGGGGCGCAGGAAAGTGATGGAAACATTGGTGAGAGTTGGAGAGAGGGCTGCCTGTCAGTATGTTGTGTTGGAGTACAGAAAGTTTAGTGTTATCTAAAGGATTTTCAGTGTCATGGCTGAATATTTAGCTGGTTTTGATACTGTCAAAGTCTGTGAGATTTTAGATTGAGACTTTTCCTTGAGCAAGACTAGGTCACAGTAACAAATGTACCAGATTAAGTGAAAGGCATTTCATGTATCTGTATTATCCTGATAATTTTCTGTAATGTTGTAACACACTTAATAACAAATTGAACCTGTCAGTAGCAAAAACAAGCATTTTTAATGACTGTGCACAATAGTCTATAGGGATTATATTGCGGCCGTTTCTGTGGTTGCAGCAGTCTCTCAATACTAGACAAATCCCAAAAGTTGTAACCTCTATTGGTCACTTAGACACAAACATGGGAAAATAGAGTTTGGGTTAAAACACACTGATGTTTCCCTTTAAAAGAGCCCTTAGATATAAAATGTTACTTTTATTGAACTCATTAGTGTAACAGTGGGTTGCCCTTGCACATATTGGTAGTATGATAATATTTTACAGAACACCTGGCTTGTTTTTGTGTGGAAAGTGGTAAATGCAAAAGGCTTCTAGTTGAGGGGAAACTAAAGCTTATCACAGATGGTGCATCCTGCAGTGTACAACCTCTAGCTCCTTGTTCCCGCTTGAGTAAATGTGAAGTGATAATCAGTGTTTATTTTTATCTTTCAGTGTGGTGTGATCAGTCCACGTTTTGATCTCCAGCTCAAGGATTTGGAGAAGTGGCAGAACAACCTGCTTCCCTCAAGACAGTTTGGGTAAGAATCACAAACACCAACTTCTTAAACTGAACAGTGGCAGTAATGTCGTTATGAACTGACTGAAGAGGAGATTTAAGAATTTTTTAGTCGCACCGGTGTCTAGTTATGCTCTTTATCAGTTAGTGGAGTGACTTGGTTTT